TCGAGGATTTTTTTTAACTTCTGCAGTAATTCTTGTGAGTTCAACAATTTCTCAAAACTATCATTAGTTACCAAGGAAACGCAAAATGTTTGCAGGAATAAATAAGCAAGTGGACTGGACCTAAATAGCAGGCTTTTCCTGCTTCCCATTTAATAATCTTATGGTGGAGTCACATTATTAATTCTCCATTCTTTACAAATCATTCTACTCACCTACTGGTATACTTTTTAGAGTCCCAAAGCCAGCTCACATCCCATATAAACCAAGACCAGGAGGTATTTGACCAAGAGAGGAATCCCCATTAAACAGACTTTCCTGTTTCATTTGGTGAAGAACCAAAACCCTGGCAATTTCAGGGGAGATAGCTGGCAGCAATTAGTTGTATAACCACCACTTCCAGGAAAAATAGGCAAATACATATTTTTAAATAACTCAGCATCTACAGAAAAGTCACAAACATGGTTAAAATATACATGATAAAAGAGACAAATATAAAATTACAGCTGCTATGCTATGCTTAGAAAACAGGAAATACAGCGCTTGGATTGTTGATAGTTGGCAGTATTCATGTGTAGGGATAGGTTTAAATTTTTCTACTTTTCTGCATTTTCCAAATAATGATGGGCACTAAATTAATTTTAAATTAATTTTTAAACTCTCAGTCATTTTAATGTTAATAAGGGGCTTCTCACTCCCTGAATCGTTGCTGTAATCAGCCTGGTCACTCTCAAGGATACTGGTCACTGTTTTAAAATCAAAGTCAGCTGAAATATCAATAGAAATCATTGAAGAGTCTCTGAAAACTCCAAAGGCTCTGGAGGCCTGGAATAAATGATTTGGGTCCAGATAAGAGAGAGAGGGTCTATATATAAATCTAAATTCATTGCGGTCCCATCACTAACTGCTGGGGAAAGGCTCTCAGCGGAGGTGCTGCACTCCTGGAGGTGATATAATTTGTGGGGGCATTATGTAAATGGAGTGTGACAGACCACCACCTGGGAAATACAAAGTGAAAGGAAGAGGTTGGTTAGAAAACTGATTGTTCCTGGCAGGGAGAGGTGCTTTCACCCTCAGGCTTCCTTTTTGGCTCCACATTCTACATTTGCCCACCTTCAGACTCCCTCCTAAGTTGAGCAGCAGCAGGAGAGAATTATAAACACAGAATACATAGAAGGCTTGCCCAGTGCTTAGGGGCAAACTTACCTTGAAAGAAGCCTTTAAGCAACAGGATGTCCTGTGAAGTGGAATAGCTTAGCAGCAAAGGCTCACTCTTGTCAGCCCAACTGCAGCCTAGTGCCATGCAGAACAACAAAATTCGGCTGCTCCTCCTGCTGTCCTAGATCTGTCCCCATCTGTTCAGCTTCTCATACAGGACCATGCCCACAACAGAGTAGTTTTTCTTGCACCTTATGGTGTTTCTACCTAAACTAATGTATAGACAGAAAGAAGCAACAGTGTCACATTCAAAGATAGCTTGCAGTAGCAGACCTTCCAGGGAGTCTTGCACATCATCTTTGATGAATGAAAAGAACCAGTAGCGAAAATTGTGGGTAGCTGCAAGAAAGGTCCAGCAAATTATGAATAACGTATCTCGGAAACTTTTTCAGAAAACAAAGGCAGGAAGACAGGATGTGAAAGAAAATAAGAGCAGTCACTTCACTAAAAGGAATTGGCTTTGATGTATGTAATGGTATTTTAAAACAGCTGAACAACAATAACACTGTGGATCTTACTAACCATTAGTTTCTGTAGCCATGTAATAACCTCCTAGCATTAGCCTGAATAATAGAGGCTGCTATTCTTCCTACGCTTTTGACTATCCAACAAAAGTGATTCATATGGTTCAACTGAATCAATACTTCCTAGTTTCCCACCCTGTCACCTACAAACCCTATTCTCCATATTAAACAGAATTTAGCTTAGTAGAAAATTTCTTTGTACCATTTCCAAATAACAACTTAAAGCTATTGCTGATTAAGGGGCAAACTACCATAAACACATACTACTAATTGCAAAATTTTAATTTCTAGGTCTAGTTATTTGTAGGAAATTCCTGACTATAAAATGAGAGTCCTACAACATATAGACAGAAGTAGGCTAGGAAGTAAATTTTCTGAGTCAAGACCAAGGCACAGGGGTTATAGCACTTTTGTTTTTGTAATAAATATATGTCAGAAGCCAAGCGAACAAAAATTTTATCTCAAAGAGACTGGTAAAGGGAAGGAAATAAAAATCTATTCTTCAATTTATGTGCCCCATAGAGCACAATGTCAATGACTGGCTGGTGTTTGCCATAAAAGACCGAGAGTGCGCCTATGTCAATTGGATAAAGATCATCTTTCCTCAAGACACCTGACTTTCATCTGCAGGAAAATTGTCATAATATTCCAATTTTATAAGAACAAGACAAGTTGCCAACACACTTAAGAAAACCACCTTAGTAAATATAAAAATCCAAAATGTCTCCAACTGAATAACACTCCCTAGGGTTAACCATTACATAATTAGAGTGGCTCTGGTGTATGACTGTTAAAAGGGTTAAGTACTGTTTTTCTTGTTAACTTTCAGTCTGGAAAATAGAGATACAAACCTTTCAATTAAATTAGAAAACTTCTTTTCAACACCTCTGATAGATTCTGAGCAAACCATTAGGAGAAGGCAAGACTAAGTCACATATAACAAGTGGGTGAAATTCCAGCATTCCTTGCTTTATGAGCAGTATGAAATTGGTCAAGTTATTTTATACCTCCAAATGTGTTTCTGTATCTGAAAAGTATGGATAATACCTCGAATGTCTTGTGCAGATTAAGTGATAAAGTACATCTAGAGCACTAAGTACAGTGACTGGCCTGAACTAAATAAGCTGCTCAACAAATGAGAATTATTAGTTCCCAAAGAGAGTGGTGGTCACACACCATGACCTCAGTTGTAACACTGAGTCATAGCTAGGTCAAAGTTCTCTGCTTCAGGGAACAAAATAGTAGCAGGTAAGGAGTAGAAGTCATAATCCTATTTTCTTTTGCTCCAAGAACTTTAGACAAGTCTTATATCCACTTTTGTATTCTTTAGCTATTCTAGTAAAAGAAAAAGAGGGAAAAATACTATCATATTTTATGGGAGAAGTGAAAAGTCACAGAATCAAAATAAATACAAAGCATGAATACAAAAATGTGAGAAAGAAATAAGCAACTCAAATGTTCTGAAACCTCTGTACCCATCAGAGGGAAATGGAGACAAAACAAATTATAAAAATATTAGCTTTGAGGTAAAGATAACCTATGTTACCAGTTTGAAGCTTGGCTTCAGTATTTATGTTTCAGCTTTCATTAACAGTCATTTTACCTCATCTGAATAAATCTAGCATCAAAGTCTGAAAAGGGATGTTTAATAAGTATGAGGAAGTATAGGACTCTAAAAAGATTCAAACACACTTCACAATACAGAGTAACAGAACCAACAAATTAACATCTAAAATCTCAATACAAAACTGAAAATCAATATTAAATTGTAAATTGAACTGAAGAGTAGGGGCAGTCATTTCTCTTAAACAATATATGTGAATTTAATTTAGGTTTCTCAACAGACAGGTAAAATGATCCAGTGCATTGTCAAAGTGAGCCCACAGTTTAGCAAAGATGACACATTAACTTTGATGAGCTGAATCTTTTTTCCACACCATTTTCACTAATTATGTATTCTCTTCAACCAGTCTTTCTCCACTTCACACTAAGAAAAAAAAAAGGAACAGACCATTTTCATTATTCCTGTTTGACAAAAACATATGGAAGTAATTCTATAGACATATGTACATCATAATAGGAAGCAATCCTATTTTAATGTAATATAAAAAGTTAAATAGATTCAAGTTATTAAAACTACTCAATTCATTTGAAGCTTGCAAACAAGACTACCCGTCCCTAATCTATTTAGCAGATTCATATAGTTGGCTAGGATTTTAGAGATTACTTCTCTTATTGATGTGCAATGTAATTAGGAGGCTAATTCTCATTTACCAGAAGTAGCATTTAGACAAGTAAATCTTTCCCATAGAGAGTAACAGTCTTAACTCAGTCATATTTGGTCAGTTTCTTTTTCGTCTCTTGTCTATTTTGTTCTTACTTTGCTGGGTCAAGAGAACAAATGGATTAAAACTGTTTCTAAAGTTCTATTTGGACACCGTGTCTTTAAAGTATGGCACAAAGCATTTAATTTCCCTAATAAATATATTCCCTGCCAAATCAACTGATTAGCTTTAACTACTTTTCGTTGAAACACAGACATGCAGAAATGAGGAACGAGAAGGTTCTTTGAGGAAAAACACTGGGGGAAAAAAAAAAGATTTCATCTGGCCTTCCCATCATCACTTGAAGAATTGTTTGGTAGTTACATCATCAGGAAATAAAATACTATCCTCTGAGGACCCCGACTCTTTACAAAGGGGAAAGAGGTTTGAAGACTAAATCACCCCAGGAAGATGTCTCAAAATAAAAATAGACTTCTGGTTGCCTTCTCCCACCTCCCTCCAGCAACCAAAAAGCAAATGTGTAACAAAAATGTATTTACCGAAGCTTAAATAAGAATAGCAGGACGTGCACTTAAAAACCCGAAGCAGCAGCAGAAGCTTTGGCGCCCTAGAGGGAGCAACGTTACAAGCCGCCGTAGATCGACTACGACCCCCAGTGACTAGGCCAGCCCGGCAGGAGGGCGCCCGCGCACCCGCTCACCGCCCTTCCCCGGCGGGAGCCCGGGGCACCGACCGTCCGTTCACACGGTCGGAGCGTCGGCAGAGCCGGGGCGCTTCGCTGCGCCGCCGCCGCCGAGGGTCTGGCTGTCACCGGGGCCCCCGCCGCCCGCGCCGCACACGCGGAGCGCCTTATAAGGCAGTGCAGTGACGTCAGGCCCATAGGCCGGGCGCGCTCGGCGCCCCGCTCGCATTGTTCGGGCGACTCCCGGAGCGCGCACAGCCCGCTCGCAGCGCGGCGCGACTGCGGTCCCCGCCCGGCCCCCGCCGGCCTCGCCGGCCCCGGCGCAGGCAGCTCAGGTAAGCCCGGGAGAGCCGCTCCGCTCCAGCCGGGGGCATTGCTGTCAGACGGCCAGATAGTCTGTAGGTGGCTTTTAAAGTTATCAGCATCACGAACTGCAGACAGGTTTCGAAAAGCTCATCCAATGAACTGCAGAGGTTCAGACCTTTCCAACTCACACAAAACTTGAAAGAAAGAGTTTTCTCCCATGGAGAAAACTGATTTGGGATTTAATCTTAAGTGCTGAGAAGGGGGGGATGACTTTATTACATAGGCTTTTCAAGCGAGCTACACACTGAATCCTGCATGTTTTGAGAAATCTTTTGGAAAAGGGTTGGGGGAATATATTATAATACAACTCTGTCTCCTGATCTTACCTTTCCTTCGGACTGTAGCTCCTTCCTGATTTACAAGGACAGAGTGGGAACATCTCCACAGGGGAGTGGATTGTTAGTGCCAATTCCTACCCACACCCCTTTCACAAATCTTCATATAAAAGTCTAGAAAGACGCTATTAAGACTACAACTTATACTTACGGTGACTCTCATTTTAAAAAGTAAAATATTTTTTAAGTTTCCAAAAATCTTACAAATGTTATTCTGCTTTAAAAGCCTATCAGTTTGTACAGGGACTTATTATAAGTTTTACGTTCTTTTTATTTCAATTCTAGTCAATGGATAAAAGCAAAATGCACTTTAAAATTAAAGGCTAGTGCTAGTGTCTCTAGAGTAACATTTTGGACAATATTTTATTATGTAGAAAGATGAATTTAAAAGATAAATCCTATAGAAGAATTTTGCTAATCAGTGTCTTCTTGAACCATAATTGTTACATTAAAACCTGAACAGGCAGTTGCTACAAACCAACCTTTCAAGGATGCTACCTGAACACTTGGCAAATGCTAAAAATCCACATACAATTTTACTTTTCAGAATAAAAATCATCAGAAAAATTAAAAATAAAACATGCTCTGTCAAGTTTGACACACTGGACTAAGGTGAAAAATGACTTACCATTCAATTTTATTAGGTCAGCATATAACACAAAACAAAACTTAAGAACTGTATTACAGAATTATTTCCCTTTTAAAATAGGCTCTGTTTTTTATTATTTGAAACAGCATTTTAAGAGTATGTCCAAAATTTGAGATCTATCTTCCTAGTAATCCCTGTTGGCTGAATTTTTTAAAGAATATGGTAGGTGTCTACCATTTTTACTTCACAGGAGTATTAATTGTGGTTGTTTTGTTTTTGATAATTTTGGAGCAATGCAAGACTTTGGTATTAGTATTCTAAAACAAGAGTTGTAGGCCATTTGGCCAGAAGATAAGCTGTATTAAAAGTTGCTATTGAGAAGGATTTCCCCTAAACTATTATTTCAAATCTAGGGAACCCTACCATAATGAGAAGGGAGCGAGGCCAACACCCAGGTCACTGTGGGGAAGTACAAAATATGCAATAGAAAAAGTTGTTTATTTGATATAGGCTGTAATTGGACACTGAAAAATTCCTGTCTTGGGAAAAAGGTATTCCACTCTTTGACTCTAATAGAGGAAAAGAGAAGCAGAAACCATCAATTATTGTTTCAGCTATACCCAAAGTACCATCTGTACCATAAACTATAGCTCAACTGTTGAAAATCATAACCTCTGTCAAAGCTCTAACAGCTGTTTCCCCAGAGTCTGCATTATATTTTTAAAATTAGGTTAATTTTAAAAGATTTTTTAAATGACACACTTTAGTAGTCCCATTTATTAACTTTATCTAAAGCATGATTCAAAGAACAATCATCCATTAACATCCCCTTTAAAGGTGAAAGTTGTTAAGATTTGTCATGAATACATTATCGCACAGAGGGTTCTTTAGTTGAGCATTTCTTAGTCCTTGAGAAAATCTATATGATGGAAGTATATTTGAATTTGAGTGAATGTGAATTCGTACATTTCCAAATGAAGGATATATTAATGTTATGCTTAATTAATGTATTCTTTTATGGTGATTTTCCTTAACTTTTATACACTGTTATTTTTGTGATATTTTCCCAATGTTGTGATGGATTCTAAAGTACAGACAATATGAAAACATGAATCAAGTTTTGAACTTAGTTTTCAACTTCACTTCTAATTCCCATTAATGTGCTTTCTCAAAAGGCTGTGAATTTTGTTTTAGGGTTTACTATTGTCCTTCTCCCTTCCCCAAAAGGACCACTGGTAATATATAGATTTGGAAGCAAAAAAATGAAAATGGGGAAAGAAGAATAAAATTCCACTAATTCTTCTTAGGTCATGTTGTGTCTATATCTAGTGCTTCAGGGCAAAGTAAATGCTTTTACAAGGTGAACAGAAAAAAAAAAATTACAGCCTCCTATTTAAGAGAGAAAGGAAGGGGGGGCAGGAAGAGAACTGTTTATGAAAGAGTGGATATTGTGGAGTAATAATCAGAGGATGTAAAGTAATATTGGTCTCAACCTGCTTTAGAAATTGAAATCTGTTGTTCACTAAGCCAGTCATTATCTTTGAAAAATTCAACACAACTTATCCCCTTGGGCACATCATTAACTTTAAGAAATTCTTAAAGCTTATTTAATTTGTATTGACCATGAGTTTAGCTTCAATTTAAACTGACTGGCTAGTTTCTAGAAATTATGTTTAAATAAGATTTTAACGATGAAGAGACACTACATATGCAGCCAACACAAACTTTCAGAAAGAAAAATCTTTCTGTGACTGCTTCTGCCATCACTACAGTATTTCAGGCCACCAATGCAATCACTATTGTTTTATGTATGCTGCCAAGACTTTTAGAACTTCCTCTGGTTGGTCAGTTTGTGCTTCAAACGTTAAGTACATTAATCCAAGTCCAACATCACCAACAATGTTGTAAGCCCTAACATCCTTCTTTTTCTTAAAAACAGAATTGAGGTTCTCTGTCCTTGACCTTCATCTGCATTAAAACTGCCTCTCTGGGAAAGCTGGGCCAACAAGAGTGGAAGGCTCTCCAAGGAAAGTCCCTTGGTTCTTTTTCAGCTATGGAAGAAATACCCCTTTCTTCATGCTTCTTCTCTCAGATGCGTTAGTGGAAGGGACAGCAGCAGTTTTCTGAACCCAAGAACAGAGAATAATATATTAGCAGTGTGTTTTCCTTTAATCTGACCATCCTTACATTCCTATGCCCACCAGCTCCAAAATAAAACTAACTTTTAAGGATACAATTATTACTTTTTACTGACAAGCTTGGGGAATGACATGTCTGTATATGTTTTAGGGGGAAGGAGTAAGGAGGTATGCAGAAGAGTAAGTTAGTGTATCATTGGGACAGGGAGGAGTGCAGACAAACATACACCAACTCCTTGATTCTGTTTATGGTAACTACTGATTCTAGTAAAGGACAGTTATTATCAGTAAGAGAGAGTATATATTACATCAGAATAGCAAAACCTTTAACTCCACAGATGTAAATATAAAAACTACCTTATTAAGTTCTATATGGATAGTAGAATGTCCAGGCCCCAGAAGTACGTGTACACACACACACAAACACACACGCAGAGAATATACTCAGGACTTTATAGCTGGAGGAAGCAGTCTTGGAGGCCATCTGATCCAAATGCTTCTCTTTACATAAGAAACTGATGTTCACAGTGTTACTTGCATCAAAGACACAGAACTACTCAGGGAGAGGCAGAGCTCCTGCATTCTTGGGCCCCATCCTTTGGTTTCTCCTTAAATTAGTGGTAGGAAGTGAACAGAGGAAGAAAAAAGCACCGGAAGCAGACTCACTACTATAGGTATTAATTTGAATATCAAATTCATAGAGTGGTTCAAAGTTCTTGTTAATTAGTACAAGCAGTAAGAAGTCAAAAGGAAGGAGGTAAAAAATCAATACAGTTCAACCAGCTAAAGCAATGGAAGAAGGGGAAAGACGGAAGTGATAATGGGAGGACAAAGGAGACAAATAATAAATATACATAAAGGTTCTCTGGATAGCCAGGCTTACTCTCTGACATCATGCTAGGAGTACCTTTGTAAGAATGTGTGCATTATAGTCAAAGGTATGTAAGTCTGAACCACAAACTTGACAAGTGACCTCAGCATCCTCTCACTAAGCATTATTAACTTCTCAGACCTCCCAGCTAGCAGATTCACTTTCAAAACTTAAAGTGACTCAATGCCTTTAGAACCATCTCTATAAAAATATCACAGGAAGTCACCAATGAAGGTTACAACCTCCTAGTGATACCCTGCTTTACTTTCCTTCACACCATATACCATAACATAACATTAAATTACACACTAATTGCTTGATTTGTTTTTTGTCTGTATTTTGGACTATATATCTTTGAGCCTCAGTTTTACAACTAATTTTACCTCTAGCACACAGAAAGATAGCTACTAGCTATAGTTAACAGGTGTGTCACTGGGTCAAGAAGGGTGGTAGATATATGTACAAACAAGTAAAGTACAATCTAAGAGCTTCTTATTTGGTAAAAAAATATTTCTGCAATAGTGGACTAGGAAGAACCCCTCTCCCTGCACACGCCCCTTCTTTAAATCTTTGCCACTATTTGAAGTAACCATAGCATTGACTTACAAATACAAAAACCGAAACACAAATTAGGCTCAGATGAAGGCAAGGGCAGTGAGACTGCTTTGTGTACTGCACAGTATGTGTGTGTACGCAGACTAAGTCAGATGTTTCTCTGCCCTGGCCCACCTCTACCTACTTCAATTTAACTTCCTCCCCCAAATAATGAAAATAAAGGTGGTGAAAGAGTACCAGGTGAATTGCCCTTGGGTATGGAATGGACTTGAAGCAAAAATAAAGTGCGGTGGTTTTGTCCTTAACGAAGGGTAGATTCCTCTGTTTTTTTCCCCAATCTCTGAGCCTCACCTGAAGGCCTATAAGATGCAGTTACTAGATCCAGAGAGTTTGCCCTTGCAGTAGCAAGAAACTAGCAGATAGTCTTCCAATTACTTTGATCCCAAAATTTCTTTGGGCAATCCACTAATCCACCTGTTTTTACAGAAAAGAAGTGATTTTTTTAAAATACTTTTGAAATTTAGAAACTCATTATGAGGCTTAGGGCTCATAATCCCTCATCAGCAGCAAACATTTACTGAGTGTCTACCTGATATTGTGTTAATCATAAGACAAGACAACAGGCCTTGCACTAAGTTCTCCAGATACCACACCATGTCTCTAGCCCAGCTACAGCTACTTGAACTGGCTGGCGTCATGCTGATGACAAGAATTAAGATCACCAGCAGCTCTTGCACAACAGCTTCGATCATGGTCTCAATTCCTGTTGATAAAGCAATATAGGTAAGACAGGTTGGCTGTACATAAATATCAAGTAAAGACAGTGTGGGATTGTTTTAAAAAAATTACAACATATATAGTCAATCTCTAACCTTGTTTACTGGTAACATTAAATCGATGTGGATAAATTCTCAATGGTAAAACTAAAGAGTAGGAATAATGGTTCATAAATCCGAATTCTACTTGGTTTGGCTCTGTCATCCATTTACTGGGTAAGCCATCAGTACCCTTGGTTTCACACACAAAAAGGAAACAACAATATCTACCATATCTATCTCTCAATACAGGTGAGAATAGGATAGAGGGCAATAAGCCCTAAGGGAATGCTAATTGAGTAGAGCCAAAGACTATATAAAAATAAAAGCTACTGATTCTATCATTACAGAGACAAATCAGCTATAGCAAAGGAAAAGAATGTGAATGGGGAAGTCCACACTTAAGCAAAGAGAAGACTGTTAACTATAGCACTTGAGCCTGTGAGAGCTCCAAATTATTGCACCAAGAACAGCCTTAATCCTTGATCCTTAAGCCTTGATCAGCCCTTTAAGATGGGCCACTCTGACAGGAGAAAATCTGCCAGATTTATCACTTTGCATGGCCCACCAGTTTTGGAACAAAAGTTTAAAGGTGAACTAAGCCTCTGTCTCTTTTTTAAATTCTTTTTTTAAGTGAAAACAAAAATAAGTCTCCAAGCAGAAATCATAAGAGGAATGTAAAACATTCATCACATTTGGGTTCACAAGACTTAAGTCACTGTTGCTGTTACATTTGAAGAAAAGGAGGGAGCTGGTTGGTCTAGAAGTTTGGAGAGAGCATGAGAAAGTTCCTGGTTTCTTGCTAAAGACAAAAGGTCATGCAATGAAATAGACTTGGCTTGTTAGTGTGTTTATTGGAAATGGCAAAGGAGGTGAAACACCCCATAGAGTTTTGTGAAAAGCAATCCTTTGATGCTAAAGGGAAGATTATTCTTTAAAAATAACCCCAATTCATATATTACCAAGATAGTTAAACAATGTTATGCATATTATTAAAACAAATACATTATGCTTGAAATTGCATATTATCCTTCAGGCCTTTCTTACAACTGGCTATCTGGCGCCAACTGAGGTTTTTCAGATAAAAGTGAGAAAAATGTTGTCAAGTGATTTGGGGTTCCACTCACTTCCCTCAAAGTTTTGTCTCACAAGATGATTCTTACAGTGCCATAAAATTTACTAAGCAAAGATTCAGTGACTCACAGGCAAAGTTAAGACTTTCTGGCCAGATTTCCCACATCTGGACTTCATCTAAATTTGTCTCCAAATGAATTCTTCACTGAATGATTCTACCTTCTCAGAAGTGACAGGAACAAAACTCGTTTTCTCCTCCTTCTGCTCTAATAATGAGTAACTCTGAAAACTTTAGGTATTATCCATCCTAAGAAGAGGTTACATTCTCCCAAAAAGTGGTTCTTCTCACTTCTCAATCATTTGGTCATATCAATTATGTATCAAGTTCAAGTCCATGTGAGGGATGCAGAAGAATCAAATCCTTCAAGGAGCTTACATTTAATTCAAGAGTAAAACTAATGTACCAAAACCAAATTAGCCAATGGTATAAAATAATATAGACTATTTGTGTCACAGAACCATAAGGGAGGTGGAGACTCAAAAAGGGGGAATCAGCCAAGATTATACCAATTAGATGGAAAATGAAATGTAAATGGAGGGTACTGAATGGAGCAAGATTTTAAAAGGCAGATTTATTCCTTGGCAGTCTACTATGAAAAGGAAATCTGAGGTAAAAGGAGAAAACAAGGTTTGAACCGGGATCAGAACACCCAAATGCTGATTTTTAAGTCCATTATTTGGCCTTCAGAACAACCTTAGACTTCTCTAGAAAGGAAGACAACTTAAGAAAATTGAATTCGGGTCTCCCCGGTGGCGCAGCGGTTGAGCGCTGGGTTGCGAAGCTGCCCACAGCCTCTGCAGCACCGGTTTGATGCCCTGCTGCTCCCCGGCCACTGGAGGAGGGTCTCACATGGCGCGCAGACCTCTCCTGCCGCCCGCTGCTCCCCTCAGCAGTGTACTTCGGTCCTTCTGCCTGCTCTGCTCCCCACTCTGGCTCTGGTGAATTCTCTCACCCTCCCGTGCTTCCGACTGTACCCAGTGCTTGAATGAATGAATGAATGAATGAATGAATGAATGAAAAGAAAAGAAAATTGAATCCTTAAAGTGAAGATGAAATCATGGTACAGCGCCAGACCCATAGCAGACACTCAGTAAACTCTACCTATGTCCCTTCTACTAGTTATGCCAGTCTGCCTACGAAGATGGCACTATCATGGTGCTACAGGTCAGCCAGGTTGAGGCATAAGCATTGCCCCAGGACCAAAAGGCGAGGTACTTTGCAGGATGTAATCCCGAAAGAGCTCATGCTCCCTTACAACCAGCCATAAAGTGAAGTAAAAGAGTATATTTACTAGAGAAAATCCATGTCTCTAGTAACTAAACCCAGTCACTTTGAAAGGTGATGTTATCCTTTTTTCCTTCCCTGCTACAAGGGAAACATTTCTGTCAGAAACCCAAATGTGTTTCTTAACTATGTCATAGTCATAAGTAGTAAGAAGTTACTTTATACTGAGTATAGGACCAAAGAGCACAAAGATTTAAAAGATAGGTTGAAAACTATCTGTTTTACCTTAAAAGTCCTAAGGTGCCTGAGAGACACACAAAAAACAAATTTGTACGACCAATTTTACAATTTCTACTAAATAGCTTTAATTGTATTCCTGCCACAGATTAAAAAAAAAAAAAAAGATTCCCTTTCAAAAGCTAATAATCAAAATTTGTCCTCCTAGGTGTGTTAATTTTTCAGTTTAAAGATACTTTCAATTTAACACATTTTGAATGTCAGGCACTAAAAAGATTTACTTCTTTACTTTTATTTTTTTTTTAAAGATTTATTTATTTATGCATACAAGAGCTGGGGTATAGGCCAGAGATTCGGGGAGTGAGAGGATTCACCAGAGACAGAGTGGAGAAGAGAGCAGGCAGACTGACTGAAATACACTGCTGAGGAGAGCAGCAGGAGAGACAGGAGAGGTCTGCCTCCCCATGTGGGTTGCTCCCCTGGCCGGCCAGAGATCGAACTCATGCTGCAGAGGCTGCGGATTGCTTCATAGTGCGGTGCTTAATCCCTTGCACCACCATGGAGGCCTTTACTTCTTTGCTTTTATAGCACACTTACAACCTTGAACTACAACAAAATTTACTTGACATATAAAGAATCAAAATAAACCTAAACCTCATGAAATTCCAATTAAGGTGTTTCCATAAACTTATAAGACTTGATAAGTCATAAAATCTCTTCTGTCAGAAACAAACATACTTTTTTTGACATGTGAATTTGTACAGAAGTTATAGGAGAAGGAAAAAAAGTCAAAGTTGATGGTGATTTTTACTCTGTAGAACTGAGATTTGAGGATCATCACAGGCTTGACGACAAAACTACTGCTTTCTTCATGTTGCAGCTGAGAGGACAGGTGTTGAGGCAAGGTCATAGAGTTAAGTCAGTAGCAGATTTTGGTCCAGTATTTCCTGTCCATGAGGTACATGTTCTTCTTCATGGCTTTTCAATTGCTTGAGAACTGGGGTTTGGGCTTTTTTTTTTGTTTTGTTTTTAGCTGTGATTGCAGGATGGTTAAAAGTGAGGGGTAGTGAAAATTTTTTTTGAAAAATGTGTTTTCAATGGCTGAAAAAGTGCAATAGCTTGCCTCTTCTTAAAATTTAAATCACAAGTAAGATATAGTCATGGCAAAAATGAATGGGTATTAATTCATTTGGCACAAACACAAGGTACACTATATAGACTTTAAATCTGTGATAAACAGTTTCTCACATAGTTAAAAATAAATGAGTGGATGAAACTCTTACCCAGGGACAACAACAGCAGCAGACCAGGGACCGGGCAAGTGGGGTATAAAGTCATTGCTCTCAACCTCTAGCAGATGTGTTGCTAATAACTATAATATCCTAATGGAATTGCCCCTCACTGGACAAGCTTAATATTCTCTAGATCAGATTCATCTTGAAAGAACACAACTTAGAGAAGATAAAGTAAGATCCAACTCTGTGTTCACAAAATTCTTTCTTTTCAATGCCCAGAAATGGCAGAAAAGGAAAATGTAGCCTAAATGCTCTGAACCGTCAGTCAAGGGAAAACTGAACAAGCCTAAGATGACTAAAATAATTTCAATTTTTATAATGCATACAAAAGGATATGTAAAACACAAACTCGAAAAAATGGTCATTCATTGTATACTCCAATACAGTGTAGAATAAAACTTTTCCACTTGTGTGTAATTAAACTTAACATATGGCCCAAACTCTAGCTCTCCCGAACATCATGGAGGGAAGCAGGAATCATCCTCAGGAACTAGGAAAAGTGTGGGTAAGGATAAACAGAAGATGCTCACTGTGGTTCAGGATCTAATTTGTTCAGCAGGAAGCCAAGCCAGGCATCAGCCTTCATCTTCCAACTGCCCTAACCTCTGAATACCAATCAATGATATTAAATGTTCCTAGTTCCCTTGCCCCTTACTTATTGACTTATAGTTAAAATGAAGGGGGAAAAAGAAGTTCTCTAGGGACCAAAATGCTTTACAATTTATACTCTGTGGGCTCTTAGCTACCCTATTTCTCATGGCAAACTGTGTGACTACAGTAGTCACAATAAAACACAAGCCTCTGTTGTTGTGGTTTCTAAATTTCTGAAGTTTGAATTTCCCACTAACAAGTTAGGAAACGTTTGGTTTCCCAAACATACCGCGTTAGCCACTGCCTCTGTGCAAGGAGCCAGACTATAAACGGATGAACTCATCTACAAGACTGGTCCCTGTTTGGCCTTTTATATTAAATCTAATAAAATGAACTCCAGTGAATTAATGATTGAAAGTCAAATAAAAGAAAAAGGCCCCTTTAAAAACTTAAGGAACTGGGAGCTTAAAATTATTTTTTGGCTCAGAATAAGATCTGGAACAGGATAACTTTGTAAGGTTTTAAAAAGGAGACAGTAAAAGAAAATCAATCAACCAACTAATTAGTGTTAAAAGAGAATAACACTAATCCTCTAAAATACCTATTTGTAACATATGAATGACAATAACGTGTGATCTGGGAAGAGAAAAAAGGGACTAATGGAATTAAAAACAAAATTCTGCAGCCACATTAGAATGCTCTTCTAAAGAATCCATTTTTGTTTTCCTCAATCCACTAAGATATAAAAGGCATATCGATGCATAAACGCATTTTGAGCAATAAAAGAAATACATGTAAATATTCCTAATAAGGTAAAACCCGTTCAAATATAGTCATATAGTTTTATGCCTTTGAAGTCTGTGTGAGAAAAGGCAGCCTATTAAAAACATTTTCCGAGAACTTTAAGTTCCTTGAAATGTTCTACGGAAATGGTATTTTTGACAAACCCATTCCTCTGGGGAACATGAGATGTTATTACTGGCAAAATCACAATTTTTAAAACCATCTAAAAATAATTATGGATTTATGCCAAATGACTAAACTTATTTTATTATTGCAGTGATTAAGAGAATATTTGCTAATGTATCATGATCAAGGCTCAAAGTGGCCATGAACTTAAGAAAATTTCTGTGCCTTTGATAAAGAATATTAGAACTCACAAATTCACTGGAGAGTATGGTGTATGATATGTGAGATAGGAGGTGTGGATACATGTAATGATGGAGAGCAACAATTACATCGACATTTCGCAGACCCAGAATGCCAACTGATAATTTGGCAAATTATTTAACTTTTTATGTGTAAAATGAGGGTGATAATAACTGCCTGTACTTTCGAGAACTAGCATGGTGCATGGCATATAACAATTGCTCAATAAATGGTTAAGTCTTTACCATTATTCATAGCTGGTAGAGGAAAGAAACTCCTTACTAGGTGTCTGTTTCTTGCATTTACACTCTTACACTCTAAATTGATAAAGCAGAATTAAGATATTTGTTCAAATACTTAACAAATATTTATTAAGAGGGCAATAAACCAGTAATCATTGAGCTATCATTGAATATCATTGAGTAATCATTGAGCTATCATTGAATAAAACACACACACACACACACACACACACACACACAGCCCTAAACTTACTTGTATGAAGTTTATGTTCTAGTAAGATATAGGGACAATAATCAAATAAGTAAAATATACTATAGCAGATAGTACCAGATGAGATAAGGGAGTGAGTCCAGTGGCTCCCTGGGAAGACAATCAAAAAGAGCCACAGGTCTTGTTGCGTTCAAGGAACAAGAAGGAAGTTGGTATGAGTGGAGCAGAGTGAGCAGTAGAATAATAGGAAGGGGTAACCAAGAAGGTAAGGACAGGGTGATAGAATGACACTAGACAAGGTGGGGGGGGGGGCGGTGTTGACAGAAAGGGAGAACAGGCCAATACTCTCTCTGGGCTTCCTACCACTACTATAGCTGTTTTAATGGAAAGAACACCTGCCTTGCAATGTGGATATTTGTGTTGCTTGGTAAATTATTTAACCTCTCTGAATTTCAGTTTTTTGGTCCCTATCCTTCTGTAAAATGGGAATATTACTTACCTCATACAGTTGTAGTAAGGATTAAAAACAAGTAAACCCTCAGTATGCTTGTTTTGCCCCACACTGCACAGAAGCTGATGACTGTTTCAGTTCCAAGTTTACCACAACAGTGGCATTATATGGTAATTAATCTGCCTGGACTTCAGTTTTTCAACTAAAAAAATGCAGATACTACACACATTATAAAGACAGATATACAACATCAAAGTGCTGTTATAAAAAATTAAAGTAATATTATTATAATTATTTTAATATTAAAGTTTCAAAACAGTGAAAGTAAATGATTCCCATTCTTCAATATTACTTGATTTTAAAAAGTCTTAAGGATTTTAATTTTTAAAGCATTAAGTAGTAAGGGTTTATTTAGCAGTTGTGGTAATTTTTATTCCCTTTTCTTGCCCCTGCCTGAAAACAATGATGTAATGGGAAAAT